TACGTATGCTTACAGAATATGCGCTTATTAAAAATAATTGTAGTATAATATATTTGATGTATATTTTATATATTTGCGTTCTAAATTAGCTTTATTAAAAATTGGTTCATATGAATAAAAATAAATCTGTTTATAAAACTAAAAAAAAAAAATTTTAGTACGAAAAAAAAATGTCTAAAAAGCAAAAAATAACTACGCTTGAATCAAATATTCAATATAAGAATGAATTAACTGAAAGCAGTTTTGAAGCTACTGATAATACCATCGATTTAACAGAAAATATGTCAACTGAGCCAACGGTCGAGCTAGAAACTGATCTTAACTCAGTTTCACTTCCTTCACGAGAACCCTCTTGGGTTTGGGAACATTTTTCAAAGGTATATAATAACAACAATAAAATTATTACATTTATATGTAGTATATGCAAATTTAAATATAAGTCAACCAATACGGCGGGAACGCTTGCTAAACATCTACATAATAAGCATAGTAGCTATATTGGTAATCGACAAAGCACTCTTGAAAAATTTATGGGTAAGCCATATTCAAAAACAGATCAACGATACCAGCAACTTACAGATATAATTGTAGATTTTATAGTTTGTTGCCAGCTTCCTTTTTCTATTGTTGATAATATATATTTTATTACAATGTTAAATAAATTTGACGGACGATATCAAGTACCTTGTCGACAAACTATACGAACTGAGGTTTTGAATAAATATAATTATATGCGTAATATAATTTTACAAGAACTTGAAAAAGTCAAAAAAGTTTCAATTACTTATGATATTTGGAGTTCAATTACAATGCAATCGTATCTTGGTATTACGGTTCATTTTATTAACTATGAATAGCAATTAAAACATTTTTTACTTGATCTTTATTATCTTTCCGAACAACATACGGCTATAAATATTAGTCAAGCTCTTATACAAGTATTGGATCAGACTAAAATTACTGAAAAATTATTGGGAATTACAACTAATAATGCACATTTGATGATAGCTGCAGGGTGGGAACTTAAAGAAACTTTAAATAATTATGAATTAGTTCATCAACGATGTGTGACGCACATACTTAATCTTGCTATACAACATGGTTTGCAGCTAGTATCACCAATTATAAAAAAAGTTCGAGATTTTGTATCAAAAATTCGGCATTCAACAAGATTAAGCGAGTCTTTAAAAACAATTTATAAACTTGAAAATAAGCCCGAATTAAAACCTGATTTAGATATAGAGACATGGTGGAATAGTACATATCTTATGTTAAAAAAATTTTGCCAAATAAGAGATATATTAGACCTTTTTATTATTAAAAATCGTGATCTTTCTAATGATTCTCTGGTCAACAATAACAAAAACCAAACTATAGCAAAATGTATAGGAAGGCAACAAAGTAGATACTAAACTTGGTCCTATAAGTAGAAGCAGCTTGTTGTCTAGACATAAAACACCGAGGAGTGGGCATCAAAAGAATGGATGGTTGTCTTTGGAGTCAAGTTTTTTCTTTTTTGATAGACTTTCTAATGTATTCAGCATCTAAACCAGAAGAGTTATTCTAAAAACAAGTTTATAAAAGTTGTCAACGTGGGTTATACTACAGAATCCTGATATTCAAAATCCCGACATACAAAATCCTAACAAACAAAATCCTGACATCAAAATCTCAACACTGCCAAAATACTTATAGTAGCACTATTAAGATTTTGGCAATGTCAGGATTTTGTTGTCAGAATTTTGTTTGTCGAGATTTTGTATGTCAGGATTTTAAATGTCAAGATTCTGTAGTATAACTGTCAATGTATACTTCTAAGTTAGTAAAAATAGAGAAGCTAAACTATACAACTGTAAAACTTACAAGAAGAACCTCATATACTCTTATTGGCCTACCATTTTTTTTGAGGAAATTTTTATAAAAAGTATGCATTTTAGCTTATCTTTTTTAAATAATCGACATCACGTATATCAAACAAGTTAGCATTGTTTATCTCTCAAATCAGAATGTGACAACAAACATGTGTATACACATACTTCGAATGCAATAGATATTTGTATAAACAATGCTCCAAAACTCTGTTTTGACCTTTCTATCTTAAGTCAGTCGATGAAATTTTTTCTATTAAGTTTTTATTTTCGTATAATAGTTTAGAAAAAAATAGAAGTAGAGACTAATTTGTTTAGTCAGTATATAATTTTTCCAAACTACCCACAGACTTATAATAGTGGTATTAGAATAGACAAATTTGCTTTTTGGTTTATTTTTTTTTGATATCTCTTTATCTCTTTTCTTTCATATTTGTATATTTTCATCATATCCTTCTATACTTCTATGTTTTTTTAGTCTGTTTTATATTTTTTCTTATTGTGCTTTTTGATGTGAGGGTAGCTGCCAGCTGATGAACAATGGAAAAAAAGTCCTTAGTGAGTTAAGAACCCTGAGAGAGGCCAAGAGCTACTTAGGCAGATTACGTCTAGTATATAAAATCACATAGATAAGTCTTATTTTAGTTGTATCTCTATAGTTATTAGATAAAGTTATTATAATTTTTGAAAGATTAGTACTATAATAAATAAGGCAGGACAGTTGAATTGGAAAAAAATATATATATATTTTAATCTTTAATAACCTTACTAATAATTTTTATTAAGATTATTATATAAATAAATTTTATAATATAAAGCTTAATATTTAGATCCAACATTCTCTAACTATCTTTTTTTTATGTTAAGGTGACCACTTTGGGGTCTGGCACATTTTATTAACTTTGGATCGAATGCCAGGGCAGCCACAGGGCTATCCCTGACTTTGTTACATTAACAAGGATACATACTAGCCATATATACAACTTTTAGTTGTCTATTTAAGCAGTCTTGTATATGTAACCCATATAAACTACACTAGATGTTATACCTGTAATCTACTATTACTTGAGTTATCCAATTAAACCCTCTGATAGGGTTGTTAACGGAGCAATATACTCCGGAGCAAACCAGGTTATACTCTGATCTAAAGTTGGAGTGGGTTGAGATTTAAAGATTATATAATAACCCGGAGCAAAAATTATTATTATAACCCGGGTTATAAGAATAATTTTGCTCCAGGTTACTCCATACATGGAGCAACCTGGGTTATAAGAATAATTTTGCTCCGGGTTACTCTATACATGAAGCAACCCAGGTTATAAGAATAATTTTGCCCCGGGTCACTCCATATGGAGCAACCTGGGCTGCTCCATATTTGAAGTGACCTGGAGCAAAATTATTCTTATAACCCAGGTTGCACTACATACTCGACTTTATAATAATAGACTTTACTAAAAAAAAAAGTGTTGTCTTTTGAAAAGAATGTTAGCAGGAGCACTTTCAAGCATACCGCACTAACTTGCTTTGAATTTTTGGAGTCAATCTTTACTAAAGGAAAAAAAAGCAATAACGGTGGTGCTTTGCAAGAACATTACTGAAAATTTATATTCTAACAGTAGCAAATGATCTGAAAGATTTAGATTTTTTTAATGGTAATAATCTTGGATTTGGAGAAGAATAATAATAGACACGTTGCAAGATACTACCTTAATCTCGGATCAAAGTGTTAGCAGACATACTTTGCAAGAACACTAAATTTTAGTCAGATTAGAGAAAGAAAAAAATATTTTTGGGTCTTGAGTGTTGTTAGTTTTGATTAAAGGGAGTAAAAGTATTTTAGCATTGTCAAGAATATGCATGTATAATAATTTAAATCGACAATAACAAATTAGAATTATTATTTAGAAACTGCGGTTAGAATGAATAGGAAGCATTAAACATTTTACTTTATTAAAAACTAGCTAAAGCAGATAATTCTAAAACCGTTATTTGCTATGAATATGGAATTGGTATGTCAAAGAATTATGATAATTTCAAGTATTAAACTCAAGAAATATTTATCACTTAATTTCATTTTATTTAGCATATCAGCATACAAAAGGATAATTATTTTTTAGATGTTTATAGATATTGGAATCATTGTTTTTCAAGGCATTCAAATTAATTTGAATTATATTGCTAATTATATATTTTTAATTGATCTTTTAGGTACTAAGTTGAATATTCATTGGAATCTTTATTTATATTTGATATATGTGGGAGATCAATGTGAGATTTGGTTCAATTTGAAGTAATTAGATAGTTTTTGATTAATAATCAAAAGTCAGCCAATTGTTTCAAGTTGGACCAGGCCTCACGTTGGTTCCTCACAATTATTTTAGAAATATTTGTTAGGATTAATTTTGTAAGTATAAAGATTACGGTTGGTACTAAAATTTTGGGTCACTATCATATAACATTATCATATTTTGTGTAATCATAGATATCATAAGATATATTCTTTGAATATTTACCGTTGGTCACTGCCTACAGTACCCCCCAAAAATAATACTCCCCATGATTAAGATCCTGGCTTGTTACTTGAATAAGATCCGAGGTACAACTATATTGATTTACTACTTTTAATATGATATGTCCCCAAATATAGTACCCGGTTCTTCACACAGTACTCATGGGTACTATTCAATTTTGAAAATTGAGTTCTTGAATAACCCTGAGTACTGTAGGCAGTGGCCAACGGTAATATTTTACTGTAATAAGTATTGTGATTTATATTATATAGTGTTTGAATATATTGTAAACCTTATTAAAATACGCAGATATTTTATTAATAACTTAAAATAAATTTAAATTCCAATGCCAGCCAATTTTAGTGATAGCCGTGACAATATTTAAGACTTTGTAATTGTTTTCATGAAGCCTGCTACTTTGAAAATACGATATTTTATGTGGTTTATACAGACAAATCATAAGGAAATTTTCTGATAAAAAAATAAAAAAAAAATTATGATTACAATTGCGATCAATTTTTAATACAAGTATAAAGATAAGTTGCATTTAGAAACAATGAGCAATAGTAAGAAAAAACCTGTAAATTTATCTATTTGTTTTTGGGTTTTTATTAATGTACTTAGAAAATTCGATCCATATTTGATATTTATATTAAAATTTGGTTAAGTGGCTTGTTTAAAAAAGATACTATCGCTACGTATGCTTAC